TATATATATGTGAATCAAGAAACTCAATAGCATAAAAATAATAGTCATAAATAAATAAATAACTTGACTAAAAATTGGGAAAATGCCTGGAAATATATTTCTTTCTTTTCTTTAATTATTCTTTATTTCAGCGTATTATGGGAGTAGAAACGTTTACATTACATATATTGTGTTTGAACCGCCCGAGTCAGAGCTACAAGCATGTCCATCCCCGAGATGGTGCGCACCACACCCATTAGGTGTGGATATACCCATCTCCCTCTCCCCTCTCACCTGCCCAACACCTGATGAATCTTCCTTCCATGTGGGGACGTAAGTGTTGATCGATTGGTACCAATTTACCGGTGAGTATATGTGGTGCTTTTTTTCAGTTGTTGTGATTCTTCACTTCAGAGAATGGGCTCCAGCTCAATGCAGGACAATACAAGAGGTTCTAGTTCACCACTGTGTTAGTGGCTGAGTAGAACTCCATGGTACACACATACCACATGTTATTAATCCACTCATGTATTGATGGGCACTTGGGGGTTGTTTCCACGTCTTTGCAATTGTGAATTGTCATGCTGTAAACATTCAAGTGCAGATGTCTTTATTCTAGAATATCTTTTGGTGCTGGGACACTGACCACCATGGGGTCTTCCTTCTCATGCTTAGGATGCTGACTCCCTCTCCCCCTGATGTCTGGCAGACACTTCATCCTGCCTGCTGCCTGGGAGAAACTTACACTGTGTGCTCTGTGTTGCATTGTGTCATCCAAGAAAAAATATTTTATTGATTTTTGGACTTATTCCCAAGGGTTGATAATTAATGTACATTCGGGGACAGGAGAAAGTAACTGGAAGCCACTCTCTGCCTTTTGTGCAGGTGAGAATATTTTCTCTCATTACCACAAACATGTCTAACTCAGAGACTGCAGAGGGAATCACAGAATCGTGAATTCAGAGAACTTCCCCAGAGGAAACCGTTTTATGGAGAGGAAGCCACTTCTCTTTAGGAAACCAGCCCTTACCCTCCACCTGCACCTGCCCTGGGCTGACTCTGCTCCTTGTGCACCGCGCGCCCCCTGGCGGCCCCCGCAAGAGGTTTGTGTCTGGGCTCACGCTGATGTCCCCTCACTGTGTCTCTCGCACAGTAGTACACGGCCGTGTCCTCGGCTCTCAGACTGTTCATTTGCAGAGACAGCGTGTTCTTCCTGTTGTCTCTGGAAGTGGTGAAACGGCCCTTCACGGCATCTGCGTAGTATGTGCTACTACTACTATAGATGTATGAGACCCACTCCAGCCCCTTCCCGGAAGCCTGGCGGACCCAATGCATCCCGTAGTCACTGAAGGTGAATCCGGAGGCTGCACAGGAGAGTGTCAGGGACCCCCCAGGCTGGACCAAGCCTCCCCCAGACTCCACCAGCTGCACCTCACACTGGACACCTGCAAACACAGACA